GAAATTGTAGCCTCCTCTACAAGTCTGCCAGGCCAAGGAGCCAGAGGCAAGAGAGGAATCAATGAAGCCGCCCTCGTCGTCGCTCCCGGACTCCAAGGAGCTCTGGGCGGCAGCGGCGAGGACACTCCAGCACATCCTCACTCTCCTGGTGTCGGAATCACTCGCGGCCCCCAGGCAGGCAACGGAGCTGCCCTCCACCGAGCCTTCTGTGCTGCGCTTTTTCTCCACTGCACTCAGCACAGATTGTTTCGTGTGCTTTCTCCGCGGCATCTTAAAACCATCGCCTATTTTTCCAGATGATAATTCATTTCCTCCCCACACCGTGTCAACAATTTTCGCTGGCACATGAGACGAGTTCTCCTCCATCGATGTCACTGCCTGCTCTCTCTCTCCCTGACTCTCCTGAGCAGTGGGGCTCCACAGCTCCCCTGCTCTGCCAGCGCTCGTATCTTGCTGTCCTGTGTGGGGGACTCCCTGCTCTTCTGAGGGCTGCGGTGGTCCACTCACTGCTATCTGTTCTCCTGCTTGGGACACCACCAGCTCGGGCTCACCTGCTCCCTCCAGCGATCTCCTCTCCTGCACCCCGGCCGCGGGCTCTGACTTCCCGCTGCCTCCCTGTGCTGCTCTGCTCCCCGCTGCCTGACGCTGTCTGCTGGACTCCTGTGCGCCCTGAGGCTGATGCTCTCGGCCCATCTCATCCTCCACCTTGGGGCACTTCTTCACCACATGCCTCTTGCTCCTGAAGCACTTCATCAATTCCAAAGTCACGAATACAACATAATCACAGCTGTCAATGCAAAATTTAAGGGCCACATTGATCTCTTCTGTGGGTTTTTTTAAGATTACGTAGACTTGTCTCCGGAAAGAGACGACGTGCTTCAGCTGCGGTGCCTCGTAGCCCAGAGGGACCCTCCTGATCGGAGAACCCACCTGTCCATACCAGGACAGCTCCCTCTCCAGCAGCTTGTTCCTCATGAACGGAGGCACGTTGGAGAGGGTGATCTTTCAAGCTGGGGCCGCGAGAGGCAGCACCGGGGTGGAGGTGCCGTCCAGGAGAACACCCTTCTCCACCAGGGCGTTTCCCAGATCGGTAGATTGCAGGAAAATGACTATACCTCTACTCATGCGGGAAGCGGACCTGATGTTCCTGCAGCCCACGACCTCCCCGACTGCAAGAACGCACCTCTCCAGTGGACAGAACTCCGCAGGGAAAAAATTCACACCATGGCATCAAGTTAATTTCTCAAATGAGAGGTCTGGAGGATCAGAGCCTCCAGAACTGGCCATGAACTGAAAATAAACCCCACTTTTACCACAAAATAGACAGAAAAACACAAAACCAGTGAAGAAACACCGCCACACGATTCAAACACACCGAAGCTCCGCCCACTCACTCACCCAAACACACAGAGAGAGTGAGAGGGGTGAATACAGACTGACAGGACACTACAGGACATTAACACTGCACTGAGAGAGGGGTTAATACAGACACGCTGACTGACTGGACACTACAGTACAGCAACACTGCACTGAGAGAGGGGTTAACACAGACTGACTGGACAATACAGGACATTAAAACTGCAATCAGAGAAAGAGGTTAATAAAGACACAATACCTGCACACTACAGGACACTAACACTGCACTGAGTCAGAGGTTAATACAAACACTTTCTGGACACTACAGTACATTAACACTGTACCGAAAGAGAGGTTAATACAGACATGCTAACTGGATATTACAGTACTTTAAAACTGCACAGAGAGAGGCAGGTTGATATATACACACTGACTAGAAACTACAGTACATTAACACTGCACTGAGAGAGGGGTTAATACAGACTGACTGGACACTACAGTACATTAAAACTGCACTGAGACAGAGGGCTTTATACAGACACAGACAAATAGTGTATTAACACTACACCGACAGAGAGGGGTTAATACAGACACTAAGTGCACACTACAGGACATTAACACTGACTCAGTGCAGAGGTTAATACAGACACTTTCTGGACACTACAGTACATTAACACTGCATTGAGAAAGAGAGGGATTAATACAGACATGCTGACTGCACATTACAGTACTTTAAAACTGCACAGAGAGAGGTGGGTTAATACATACACACTGACTGGAAACTACAGTACATTAACACTGCACTGAGACAGGGATTAATACAGACTGAATGGACACTACAGGACATTAACACTACAATCAGAGAAAGGGGTTAATACAGACACACTGACTGACTGGACACTACAGTACATCAACACTGCACTGAGAGAGAGGGGTTAATACAGACTGACTATAAACTACAGGACAATAACTACAATCAGAGAAAGGGGTTAATACAGACACACTGACTGACTGGAAGCTATTGTACATTACACTGCACTAAACAGGGTTAATACAGACATGCTGACTGGACACTACAGTAGATTAACACTGCACTGAGAGAAGGGTTGATTCAGACACACTTAGTGCACACTACAGTACATTAACACTGCAATCAGAGAAAGGGTCTAATACAGACACACTGACTGACTGGAAGCTGCAGTACATTACACTGCTCTAAAAGGTGTTAACACAGACATGCTGACAGATCACTCAGTACAGTACATTAACACTGCATTGAGAGAGGGGTTAATACAGACATGCTGACTGGACACTACATTAAAACTGCAATCAGAGAAAGGGGTTTACAAAGACACACTGGACACTACAGTAAATTAACACTGCACTGAGACAGGGGTTAATACAGACTGAATGGATACTACAGGACATTAACACTGCAGTGAGAGAGAGAGGTCAATACAGACACACTGACCTGACACTAAAGTACATTAACGCTGCACTGAGAGAGAGGGGTTAATACAGACATTGGACACTATAGGACATAAAGACTGCAGTGAGAGAGAGGGGTGAATACAGACACGCTGACTGGAAACTACAGTACATTAACACTGCACTGAGAGAGGGGCTAATAGAAACTGACTGGACACTACAGGACATTAAAACTGCAATCAGAGAAAGGGGTTGATTCAGACACACTGACTGGACACTACAGTACGTTAACCCTACACTGAGACAGAGGGCTTTACACAGACACGGACAAACTTGAAATGGCAGTACGTTAACACTGCTCAGAGAGAGGGGGTAAATACAGACAGACTGACTGGACACTACAGGACATTAACACTGCACTGACAGAGAGGTTAATACAGACACTTTCTGGACACTAAAGTACATTAACAATACACTGAGAGAGGGGATAATACCGACATACTGACTGACTGACTGGAAACTACAGTACATTACCACTGCACCGAAAGGGGTTAATACAGACACGCTGACTTGACACTAAAGTACATTAACGCTGCACTGAGAGAGAGGGGTTAATACAGACACACTTACTGTACACTACCGTACATTAACACTATACCGAAAGAGAAGGTAATACAGACATGGTGACTGGACACTACAGTACATCAACAGTGCACTGAGAGAGAGGGGGTTAATACAGACATGCTGACTGGACACTACAGCACATTAACACCGCACTGAGAGATGGGTTAATACAGACTGACAGGACACTACAGGACATTAACACTGCAGTGAGGGAGAGAGATGAATACAGACTCATTGACTGGACACTACAGTACATTAACACTACACTGTGACAGTGGGCTTTATACAGACACGGACAAACTTGAAATGGCAGTACATTAACACTGCTCAGAGAGAGGGGGGTAAATACAGACAGAGTGACTAGACACTACAGTACATTAAGACTGCACTGAGAGAGAGGGGTTTTACAGACACACTGACTGCACACTGCAGTACATTAACACTACACTGAGACAGAGAGGGGTTAATACAGACACACTGACTGGACACTACAGTACATTAACACTGCACTGAGAGAGAGGGGTTAATACAGACACACTGACTGGACACTACAGTACATTAACACCACACTGAGAGAGGGGTTAATACAGACTGAAAGGACAGTACATGACATTAACACTGCAATCAGAGAAAGAGGTTAATACAGACACACTGACTGACTGGACACTGCAGTGCATTAACACTGTAATGAGAGAGAGGGGTTAATAAAGACACTGAGTGGACACTACAGGACATTACTGCAGTGAGAGAGGGATTAATACAGACACGGACAAACTGGACATTACAGCATATTAACACTGCACTGAGAGAGGGGTTAAAACAGACATGCTGACTGGACACTACAAGACATTAACACCCCTCTCTCAGTGCATTTAACGCAGACACACTAACTGGACACGAGAGTACATTACCACTGCACTGAGAGAGAGGGGTCAATACAGAGTTAATACAGACACAGACCCTTGAGGATTGTAATACTTAAACCAATTAAAATAATGTTTATATACACAATCATTAGTATACATATACAAATCTAGACCAATACAACGTAAATACAATATTTATAAATGTTGTTTCTTAATGACTTTGGATTACAGATTGATTCAGTGAAACAACTGTTGAATCTGAACGAGGTGTCTTCAGCACCGTAACCGAACGAAACAGTTCAATTTCCAGTAAAGAATCCCGTTGTTACATCATACAGATCTTTCCCACTTCACTGTAAGTGCATCTCTCTACTATACTCCCTCCTGTTTCAGAAAGATTTTTATTTGATGACAGTTTCATAGTCTGTTAGAACGCGTACTGTTAATGAGAATGTGTACTACTGTGAGATGGGTAGGTGGGTAGCTGCGTCAGCATGCGTAGGCTGCAAAGGAACAAGTAATAGGTTTATTCCATGCTGAAAAAAAAGAAGAGAACACAACGTTTCGGCCGTGGAGCCTTCTTCAGGTGTGAGAGAGACAGGGCAGTACTGTGAGATGTTTTCTTTGAAATAAAGTTTGTTATTTAAGGTCTCACCGGTGAGGAAGTTAAAGACACTGGTTGTAAACACACAAACGCTCTGACGTCATATAAGTCACCACACTGACCTGACAACCGTTTCATGTCAATTTCTTCTTTTATTTCTGCAGTGACTTCACAGTGAAGCGTCTGGGTACCCTGATCTCCTCCTGCTCCCGACTCATTCTCCCACAGCTGCAATCTCCACTTCAGGCTCTCGTTTTCCTTCTTCAGCTGCGCCATTTCGCTCCCGACACTGTCCTCCACACACTGTGCGATTTTAAACACGGCCCGTCTCACCAGGATCTGGGAGACGCTGCGGAGTTTGTCTTCAAACTCGTCCTCAGAGTCAGACATCCTGTTCCGGAAAACTTCTGCCACTTCATACACGATCGATTTGAGCAAAACCTGCATGAAAGAGTCAAGCTGGGTTTGCAGATTTAACAAGTACTCCGCCATCTTCAGAGTCGGTCAGAAACAAAGGCTGATTTGCGGTTTAAACAGAATAACTTATTTATTTTTATTCTAAACAGATCCTGTTGTCAGGAACATGTGATCGGTTCAAGCATAAACACAGCCGACAAGATGCTACGTTTTCAGAAAACTGAAGTTATTAAAAAAAACAAGAACTTTCTTTTTTATCTAAAGAAAATGATTCACGTGGGTGAAACAATATGCTATGTCGCGCCGTGTGATGATGTCATTCCTTTGCGCGGCCGCGACTTCAAAATAATTGAGAACCGGAGCTGAGAAAGAGGATTTTCTGCAGCCGGATATAAACACGGCACCTCATAGCGCCACCTAGTCAAGAGGAGTGAATCACTTGCGACTTGCTCCGTTCGTAAGTGTGAATTTTGTGAAACGGAACAGATTTATTGTTTTGCACTTCCACAACGAAAACGTCTCCCTATGCAGGTTTTTAGTTAACGAAAAAAAAATGCTGTCATTTTCTTCCCAGCTGGCAGTATTTATTCTGCACCGATAAGCAAGATTTGTATTTCATATTTCGCAAATGCATTTCTGGAAAAACACGTTGTTCCAAGAAAGGAAAGACATACTACCATTTAACAAAATCAAGCCATATGTGATTGTCCTTAATGATAACTTCTGTATGACAAGACAGGAAGAAACGCATCTCAGGATTTGGGACACAGGATCTCCTGTTTATTGAGAGACGTTTTAACCATCTGGTAGTTTTCATGTCTAAGGAGCTCAAAGTGCTCTCCGTGTACAACAGTGTGTCCTCTACACCCGCCACTGAAGCACAGCACAGGCTCAGCATCTTGATATCTCCCAAACAGAGACGGGCAGAGAGCTTTTGGTTGTCAGTAGCTCAAAAAGGGAGAAAAGACACTTTCCGGAGCAGGATTTGATACATTTGAGTATCCTGGACACAAATCAGTGCCTGCTTGTATTTCTGTGTTTTTTACAGGAAGTTTAAATGTGACTTCAGAGACATTATAATATTCACAACCTTGCCACAAAATGGTTGTCCATAATTGCTGATTATGTTTGATTAACAGACAAAATATTACACCCCCCTCTACTGAGCAGATACTTTATTTTCCTGATGTAACACTAAATGTAACGCAAAGTAAATAAAATAATTAGCATCTAATTACATGCAATACCAAATGCAATCTCTTTCCATCTTAGAAGCAAGAGTACACATGATAGCACAATGTTTTTTTTCCCCAAAAAAAAAGATGGGTATTGTGGGACAAATATTCAGGAAGCTGCTAGAAATTATAATCTGGTACCACGTTTTTATGTATATCACCATTCTCTCATTAGACTTTCAGCAAGGAAACGTAAAATTTGTATGATCCAGAACCTTGAAGTACAACGTAAAATAGTATTATATATACTATGTACCAAGATCTCTCAGAAACAAAAACAAAACAACAATAATAAGAATAATAATAAGAAGGCATGTTTCTGTAACTGAACCATATATACAACCAAGAATATGCACAAAGTACTCAATACGACACCCTTAGTGTATTACTTTTGTACAGTCCTTCTGAAAAATCTATATCTTCTTATCGTTCAAAAATATTTAACACGACCTCCTTTTTCCAAGAAAAAAAGAGAAATTAAAAAAAGAGATATTTCAACAGAGCCCCTTCTTGTGTCTAATTTTTAGTTTAGAAGGATTCAAGCAGGATTTTGGATGAAAGGCAGCGACCTTAATCAAGCCCAAATCATAATTGAACCCACTCAGAGCCTACATTACATTTTAGCGTTTCATTCTGAGCAGAAGACCCTCACACCAGAAGAAGGCTTGCGTTTTCTCCTCTTTTAAGCATGTGTACAATGCTGTAATACAGTTTAAAATAATTAAAAGTTTAAACAGAATCAACTAAACTCCATTAATATAAGTATCGAGTGGTATTAAATAAATACAGCTTTTTAGTATAGATTACACTTTTCTAAAATTTATTTAAAAAATAAAAACGATTACAATCGCATCTTTCCACGTTTGATCCCAAAATCCCAAGAAAAATAAATCTAAATGGGGAGAAAGCTATGCTGAAAGTTTTATTAATATACTTAGAAGACAAAGATAACAATTTATGTTGCATTTGTCTGATTGTGAATAAAAAAATACATTTAATTAACTGCTCTAAGTGACAGCTGACAATCCTCCATACACTCAAGTGAAAAATTAGTAATGCCAATGTAAACGTCGTATTTGCAATTTGTTGATAATAGAAATGTTAAGTTCTCTAAAGCTTTGTGAGGCAGCAAAAGGCAGCAAAAGATTTGAACACCTTATATTGTAATGAGCTGCTGAGAATGGGTTATGTTCCTGCTGTCAGAGGGGGTGGAAAGTGCCCGCGGTCATTTAATTAGTATTACAATTCGCACTGATTCCCTTGCGAAGATATGGATATAAGAATATTCATGCGTGGTCAAAAAATGGCATTAAGCACTTAAAATTAATATGGTTAATAAGAGTAAACTGTAACATGCTGTAACAAGATC